TAGCTGTGCATGAGACAGGATAACGTGGGTCCTTGAATGTTCAGAGTTCAGTCACTGTGGGAGAATGAAGTCCTGTGCAGAGATGGAGTAAATGAGTGACCAAAGCTGAGATATTTCAGATAGAGCACCTGAGAACGAGACCTGTAAGTGGATCAGGAGAGTCCAACTAGCTTGCAAAAGCTCTAGGGGCGAAGCAGAAGCTTTCTTCTGCCAGGAGCAGCAAAGAGGACGTGCAGTGTGTGTTGCTGTATGAGAAACAGGGTGATCCCTCTCTACACAGATGGAGAGATTTTGATTCATTCAGGATTTCAGTAAGGAGCTGCAGCCACCTCGCTGCTGGAGGATAGCAAAGGGTGAAAATAAAGGGAGACCAAGGCAGAGATAGGCCTTTTGTCTTCTGGCATCAGAGTTCTACAATGGATTGTATTAGAATCATGGAATCATAGAATGGCATAGGCTGGAAGGGACCTCAGAGATCATCTAATCCAACCTCCTTGTCATGGGCAGGGACGCCTCTCAACTAGACCAGGCTACTCAAGGCACCATCCAACCTGGCCTTGAACACCTCCAGAGAGGGGGCATCCACAACTTCTCTGGGCAATTTATTCCAAAGTCTTACCACCCTTGTACTGAAGAATTTCTTCCTAAGATCTAACCTAAATCTGTTCTCCTTCAACTTAAACCCATTTCCCCTTGTCCTATCAGTGGACACTCTTGTAAAAAGTCCCTCCCCAGCCTTCCTATAAGTTCCCTTCAGGTATTGGAAGGCAGCTATTAGGCCCCCCGAAGTCTTCTCTTTTCAAGGCTGAGCAATCCCAGCTCCCACAACCTGTCCTCATAGCAGAGGTGCTCCAGCCCCTGCATCATCTTTGTGGCCCTCCTCTGAACACGCTCCAACAAATCTATGTCTCTCTTATGGTGGGGACACTAGAACTGGACACAATATTCGAGGTGGGGTCTCAAAAGAGCAGAGTAGAGGGGGAGAATCACCTCTCTTGACCTGCTGACCACACTTCTCTTGATACATCCCAGGATGCGGTTGGCCTTCTGGGCCGCATGAGCGCACTGCCGGCTCATGTTGAGCTTCTCATCTATAAACACCCCCAAATCCTTCTCTTCAGGGCTACTCTCCACCCACTCTGTGCCCAGTTTGTATTTGTGCCTAGGACTGGCCCGATCCAGGTGAAGGACCTTGCATTTTGACTTGTTGAAGCTCATGCAGTTTGCACTGGCCCAATTCTCAAGCCTACCAAGGTCCCTCTGTATGGCATCTGTTCCCTCAAGTGAGTCCACGGCACCATACAACTTGGTGTCATCGGCAAACTTACTGAGGGTGCACTCAATGCCATCATCCATGTCGCTGACAAAGATGCTGAACAGCACTAGACCCAGAACAGACCCCTGAGGGACACTGCTTGACACTAGTCTCCATGTAGACATCGCATCATTGACCACAACTCTTTGAGTGCAACCATCCAGCCAGTTCTTTATCCACCGAGTGGTCAAATATTCAGTCAGCCTCCCAGACCCTGTTTTAATGGTTTTTTAAAATTATTTTCCTGAAATAACCAGCAAAATATAGCTTTTGTGTTTGGCATTAGGCTAAAATTTAGCTTAGCTGAGTCTGCCTTTTGTTCAGTGATTTGCAAATTGGCTAAACGAAAGGACGAAGGTCCTCTGCTCTAAAATTTCCCATGAGAACACCACTGGATACTCACTGTTTCTACAGCAAACTTAGAGAATAAATGCCACAGAAGAGAAGCATAATTTCTCTGGAGTTTATTAGAGACTCGGCCTCTAGAGAAATTAGCAAGGGCAGGATTCACTGTTTGTGTGATTAACTGCCACCAGTATTTATGTTTTGGGCAACAAAATAATGCTCAGCACATAGCAATTAAGTTCAGTTCTAACTCTAAGAATGCCAATGAAGGTACAGGCCTTAAAATTCAATGCCAGGAGAGAGTGTATTTTAAAAACTATTCCTGCTTAAAATAAAAAATCTTAGGTAACTTCCCATGAATGCAATGAAGGTAATTTTAAAAAATGTAATATGTGTGTCCTACAGAGGGAGATGAATATTCCGAAACAAGTGGACACAGAAGAGACTGAGCAGAAGGATAAAGGCAAAGTTGTACGGGTTCCCTCTCTGAAAAGAAAAACATCTGACAAAAGGAATACACGACCACAAGTGACTGAGATAAAGAGCACAACGCCACCGCCATCTGGGCCCTTACCCAGCCTGTCCCAGAGGGCCACACTTGAAACTATTTTCTCCCCTGTTGAAAAGTCTCCATCGACATTCCAACAATTCACTGCTGGGGGACTCCCAGAAGTGCTGAGCAGCAACAAAACAGAAACGAAAGCTGAGAAGAGGCTCAGTGAGATTATCACTCCACCTACACCGACGACAGTGGGTCCACAAGCTACATCTTTGGAAAGTCGAAGTTCTTTAAACTCTCCTTTATCTCCTACTCCCATAAGCCAGCAACGCAGCAGCAGTTTGTCAGAATCGCATGCCACAGGGCTTTTATCACCTCAGGAAAAAAGTGCTAAAGGCTCCTCTTCCTCCAACCTGCAGACAAAACTAATGGCAACTCCATCTGAGCCTGACCAAAGGTCACTAGATAAACAACCAAACTCACTGCTGTCTAACTCCTCTTGGGAGAGATTAGAAAATACATCTTCGGTAAGTCCAAAGTATTCCTGGCTCCCTCCTCACAAAACTGCTATCCTATGCTAGTCAGAGTAAGGAAATACAGGAAGTTCTATTTGAAAGTCACAAAGAGCACTATATGGCAGGCATTTCAGTAAACACACAAATCCAAACAGCAAGAGGCATTTTATGTGCCTTTACAGTTGATACACTTTCCAAAAAGATCATTGACTTAAACAGCTAGGTAGAGCTTAAAAGCATTCTTCATTTGCTCAGCTTTATAGCCTAAGTTTTGACAACTGTACTGGTTTCTGTTTTTCTTTCCCAAACTAGAGATTATTCATGCTGCTGAATATTCAGCAGAGCACTTAACAAGAGCCAGGAGATGCTGTTTCATAAAGAAGCCAGACTGCTGATTTGCCCATGCCCTCTATGTGAGGTGGTGGTGCTTAGTGTCCACTGAGTTTAGAAGTCAGAGAGAGGCAGAACTTAGTGGCACACTTGCCAAATTGCTGACCTGATGCAAGACTAGAACCAGCAGCTCCTGTTTGCTCAAGCTGGCAGGAAATGCACTGTTAAATCATGGAGAGGTAAAAATTGTTCCCTTCCCCTCTTGCACTTTGAGAGGAATGTTTGTCACATACCCAAGTGTACCAGTACAACACTATACATTGGTGTAACTTAGTATTATTGCAGGAGTGGTATGAATAACTTCAGCAATTTAAGTCGTAAATAATATTTAATAATATAAAAATTATATTAATTAATTAATACACCATGATAGAGCAAATTCCATGAGCAAATTGTTCTAAAAGGACCTGAATTCTCTTCATTTACGTACTATATCAGATATGACTGCAACCTAGAGAGGATTTCTAGCTGTGCTGTGAATGTAAAGGCTAGAGGCAGTAGAGATCAGTTTCTCTGTGTGGAATTTACCTCGAAAGACCTTCAGAAGTTACAACATATGTTTAAGGGCCATTTAAAAGTTAAATGGCGATGTTCTTGTATGTCTCAGGTTTCTTCAAGTCTCCAGCACATGGAGGGGTTCCTAGAAAAGAGAGACCAGCTCCTTCCAGGAAGACAACAGGTAGAAACAAATGCCATCACGCTGGGTTAATTCATCTTTCCTTGAGTTATAGTACAGATCTGGTCTGACTTCTTCAGGATAAACTCTTACGGAAAAGGAGCCCAGGACTGGGAGTTTAATTCAGTTATCACTAAGATGCATGAAGAAGTGTCCACTGACTTTGGCAGTACCTGATCAAGTCCTTAAGATAAAGAGACAATGGAATTTTTGCCTGTCATGAGAATCATAGAATCATTAAAGTTGGGAAGGACCTCTAAAATCATCAAGTCCAACCATCAACCCAATACCACCATGCCCACTAAACCATGTCCTGAAGTGCTACATCTACAATCATGCAGATCAGAGTCTGTCTACATTTAATGGATTCATGAACCAAAGGCTAGGCTGTATGAACATGTTAGTTATGTTCCCCTAGTTATAAATACAGGTTTCAACTGAATTGGGGAAAAAAAAAAAGAAATCAATTAAAAAAAACCCTCACTCCTATGCTCGCAATGCTTATGATTTCTAACTATCCTAGAAGAGAATTCATTTTTCTGTTTATCTTTAAAGAAGTAGTTTGCTTAATCCAGGGCTGAATGAAACTTAAATCTAAATTCTCATCCTGGGAAAGAATATCACTTCAGGTCAGTAGGCTAATGATCATAGCAGGGCAGGAAATTTTCTAATATTCACTACCAATCTGTAGACATCTGAGTGTTTGCTGAGGTATGGCATGTAAACAAATTGTCTCGGATTATTTGTCCCATAGAATATTTCCTCTGAAACTTTTAACTTAAAAGGCTTCTAAAAAATTCAATCTGATATGGACTCGATCTTCTGGAAGAGAAATTTAGTTTTTCCTCTCTTCTGGATACAGTGAATTTAGTCTGCTGTGATACTGAACTTCCACCTTACCAAACAAGAACTATGACTTATATTCCTCAGGATTCTTTCCTTCCTTTTCTCTGAATGATCAAATTATCAACTTGATTCACTGGCATAACAAAATAATAATAATATACACAAGTAATAGGATCTTTGATCCAGAAGGGTCTCATGGCACTAGGCTAACCTTTCACTGGTACATAGTTGGGGCAGGAAATAGCAGCTGCTTTTTCACAGTGTTCAGTAGCATTCCACTGGGGTTAGTTTAGGAAACGAGGAAGAATTCAGCAGCCACATTAGGTTGAAACCGCACACTTAACAAAACTAGACTGTGACCAGCAGGCAAGGGACAGCGTTCCAGCTAGGAAAAAGTGGAACATCTAGTGGCCAAAAATAGACATAACTTTGATTACCCACCTTCTCTCAAAGATGTTGCTGAGCACAACATGGTGTAGAGCTTGCTTTGCACCATGTTATATTGTTTGTTCAGTCATGACTCACAGAGAGATCCTTCCTGAATTGCCCAAACCAGAAGCTACAGCAGGTTCTGCTTTTCTAGGAGATAACCATGACTAAGAGAGCTTGTGTGATCATAACCTAGGCAGTTCCTGGCTTCCTGTGGAAGTTGCACATAAAAGATTTCACTACTCCAGTAAAATGTATAGCTAATAATTTGATTTTATTACCATTTCTATTCATGTAGCCAAGCTCAAGGTCTTGGAAATCCTTCTATGCAAAACTTGATGGCTTGAAGTTGGATTTCTATAATGATGAAAAAGAAGCATCTAAGGTAATTTGGGTTTTGAATCTTTCTAGCATTCTCTGTATTTACCTATCTAAAAATGCATTTAAAAGAAAATAGAGCTACATTTGCTTTGCTTTGGGGCTAGGGCAGTTCTCTTTCAAACGTCAGCTGAGTGAAAACTCAGCAGTTGTTCAACTGATACCAACTATAAGACAGAATAATAAGCTTCCAGAAATTTTCAAACATATTCCTTAAAAGAAGTATCTTATTCACAAATTGCCATCAAGATACAATGCAATAGTCCATTGTTCTTTTGTGGTTCTTCCTGTTCAGTGATCCTAATTATAAAGCAGAAAAGGATAGTATGGGTGTGTAGTCAGCCTGCAGGTTGGTATGGAATTGAATCCTAGCAGAAAAGATGCAGAAGACATTTTCATATCATTTAATCCTTCTCCAGAACGTACCCACACTCCTGTCCCTCAGCATTCCTGGTGCCAAATGTGACAGGCTGGTAAATTACATCAGGAAAGAGAACGCCTTCATGTTGCGGTAAGTCTTATGGAGAAATGCACTAATAAAAAACTACACAACTGCCTGTAGGGTTTTATCTGCCAACAGTCACCTAAGACTGTACGTTGTTAGGAGATGTAAGTGAAATGTCTTACAGTGCTTTCCCCACTCATAAGGACAGCAGGTGCAAGGCAAGGCTAACTGGAATTCACCTTCTCCTATCCTTATTTACAGGCTGAGAGATGGGGCAGAGTATTTCTTCGCAGCACCTTCTCAGACACTGATGGAGGACTGGCTGCAATCACTACAAAATAATATAGGTACATTCTTGCTTCCTTCAAGAATGAACTGTGTTTTTAGCAAATGATGGTGAGAGAAAGAGAAGAGAATTAGAAGGTGTCCTTATTCTGGTGCATTTTGAGCTGTTCTTTTTGCCTCTGTTAGACTGCAGTATACAAGCCACCTGTCACCTTATGATGTAATGCCCTAACAGGAGAACACCCAGGGTGACTTGCAAAGCAACCTTTCAATTGTATTGTGACTGGCATCAGGTTATTCCCAGGGAGAGACCTTGCCCAAGGGCTGTATTCATCCTTTAATTAAGGAGTTGCTTTGGATCTTGATCAACAGCTTTTCTTCTGAATCTAGATCTCTTTCTGGACACCTCACTAGGTGGTGGCTCACTGGAAAGGAAGCCAGAGCACAATTATAACAATGTTCAGATAAAATTGTTATGGACTCTGAAATGGCAAACTCTGTCTCTAACACTACTTCAGAAAGCTTTTATTTGTGTCCTTTGACTCTGCAGGACACAGTAACAGATCGCATTCCTCAATGACGCCGCAGCCTTTTGCTCCAAACACAGAGACCTCCCAGACAAGAATGTGGGACTTTCCAGTAAGAGACTCTGCTGAAAAACTAACCAGCAAAAGCTCACTCCTGAGGTAGGGGCTCTGTGCCATAAGGCTGAACCGATGTCACTGCTGTTTGTGCTTAGGTAGCAGTCACCTACAAGGGGATATTGCCCTGAGGTCAAAAAGTCCCTCTCCTCTGTCACTAATACAGTAAAATACGTTTTTCTCAAGTATGACCCTGCCTCAATTACTTAACATCATTTATGATGTGCTACAACCACTGTTTGAAAATGGGTCTCACTGTAGTCACCCATATCCTGTCTGTGGTTGATGACTTACAATTGGAACACCCAGAGGAATTCTTGTATCACCTATTGTAGGCACCAAAGTTACTGACATCAGAGAATCACAGAACTGTTTAGGTTGGAAGAGACCTTGAAGGTCATCAAGTCCAACCGTTAACCTAACACTGCCAAGTGCACCACTAAACCATGTCCCCAAGCACCACATCTACATGTCTATTAAATACCTCCAGGGATGGTGACTCAACCACTTCTCTGGGCAGCCTGTTCCGATGCTTGACAGCCCTTTCAGTGAAGAAATTTTTCCTAATATCTAATCTAAACCTACCCTGGTGCAACTTGAGGCCATTTCGCCTTGTCCTATCGCTTGTTATTTGGGAGATGAGACTGACACCCACCTCACTGCAACCTCCTTCCAGGTAGTTGTAGGGAGCGATAAGGTCTCCTCTCAGCCTCCTTTTCTTCAGGTTAAACAACCCCAGTTCCTTCAGCTGCTCCTCATAAGACGTGTCCTCTAGACCCTGCACCAGCTTGGTAGCCCTTCTTTGGACATGTTTCAGCACCTCAATGTCTTTCTTGTAGTGAGGGGCCCAAAACTGAATACGGTGTTTGAGGTGCGCCCTCACCAGTGCTGAGTACAGGAGGGACAGTCACTTCCCCAGGTTACTCGTATGCTCAACAGAGAAAGACTTGTTCCAACAGATGAGGGAATCAGAGCAGGAATCTACAATAGATGCCTTGGATTTTCCTCTGAATCTTCTCTCCAGCAGGGTCTGAAAAGAACTTGGCCTCCTAATTTAAAGAGCCAAACCAGTTGTCTAAAGTTGCACTGTTCGAATACTTTCTTCAAAGGCTGTTTTGAGGATCCAAACACAGGCATGTAAAAGACAGCCACAGCCAAATTAGGAAATTTGGCCTGTGGTGTAAATCAATGTCTGTTGCATTTGGAGTCTGAAAAATCTTACAGACTATGATGTGAAATCGTTGTCCCTCTGCCTGGTGGATTTTTGCACTGAGCTAAATGCCTAACATCTTCTTACATACACAGTGACTTTTAAACTCCTCTCGTTTGTACCTGATTTTCTGGTGATGCATGTTGTTGACAGGAGAACACCATCCTTCAAAATCAAACCAGACAGAGCGTCTGCAGAATTTTCCCGAAATTTTAAGGGAGATGGGACTGCTGTGACACGAGCCTCCATCACCACTCTGAGTTTAGAACAAAGTGGTAATAAACCAAAACTGCATCCATCTCTACTAGAAGCAGAAAAAGAAAAATGACATTTGTCTCAGTGAAGACACTTCACCTCTATGTGTTAACCCAGCCCTCTGGAAATGTGTTGATATGCTTTAAGTTAATCACTACCCTTGGAACTTACTTTAATTATGCATTAGATCTAGTAAAGCCATTAAATATAATTAAACATACTTTTGTGTATACGACTCTGTCATTCGTCGTATCACCTAAGTGATATCTACTCCAAGTTACCTAATGGAACAGCAGAGGGACCTTCAAGCCAGACAGCTCAAGTAAAGTGACTCTGCGAGACAGAAATGGGGACCACTGAGCAGAGCTCCAGGTGCAAGCCATGAATGCACAGCAGCCTCCGGCAAGTGGCGTTGCAGGTATGGACGGATAAGATTTAAGAGAGTTGGGCAGTCTGTGCACCACAGAAGCACAAGTCTCAAAGAGAACATGTGTTATGTAATTCCTGCAGTATTTTGTAGACTCCAGAGTCTTTCATTTTTACAACACATTCACCAACAATTCCCTATTTGCCGATTCTTTCTGGATGAGGTTACCAGGAGAAAAGTCCTGCAGAGTTACTCATTTTTAATGGAATTTGAAACTGAAATAATGGATGAACAATCAGTCTTTCCTTGTAAAAGGAGAGGAAAAGCAGGAGAGCAAGGAGGAAGTCTAGTCCCCAGACAACTGCTCTCAGAAAGATCAAAAACTAGGTTGATTAGCCAGCCTATTGGGAAGCTGAGTTGAGTAGGACTTATGTCATGTTAAGCAGTCGAAACGACCAGTCTGCAACTGGGAGAGTACACCAGTTCCGGTAGTACTATAACCCGATGTCCTTATAATACTAAGGGCAAGAAATCTCCAGGACCTTTGAATATAGCAAAAGTCTCTGGGCAATTTTGGAGAGTACACCAGTTCCAGTAGTACTATAACCCGATGTCTTTATGATAATAAGGACAAGAAATCTCCAGGACTTTTGAATATAAATATATATTTTATTGGTGACAGAATATAGATTCATAGATAGCCAGTGATAGTGATTGACTACAAAAACAACTTTAATTAAAATACTGCAGTGATAATATAAAACAATTACTGATCAGTGAAAATACTAAATAGCTAGCAAGATGTTAGTAAGTAATTAAGTAAGTGCACATAACACAGAGTTCTTACCCAATAGGCATCCCTATGGGGGAGAGGAGAGAGGTTCAGCCCGTCAACTGATTCCCAGACGTTTCGATGGAGGGGCTTCTCCCTAACATCCCCTTTGTTTTTCTGCCATTTTATATCTTTTTCATATCTTTTAGGTGGAGCTCGAGTGACTTTAGTCATACATAACTTTTATTAGGATTGGTGTAAATTTTTCTCTTGAGGGGTGTTCACAAATTAGGATTGGTGTAAATTGCTCTTGTGAGGGGTGGTCGAAGCTCGGAGGTGGGTGGAGGTGTGATTTAGTATCTGAAGGACACAATTTCACCATCACTGCTGAGGCAGTGGTTGTGATTCACTTTCCCTGATGGCATTTTTATGGTTATCTTTACCAGGCGCCTCTCATCCCTGATAACAGGGATGAGCCGTGATACCTCCATACCACTCTACTCCCCATTTCAAGGGTATTGCGTAAGCCTTGTTTGTTATTTCTTATCCCCGATAACAGGGATGAACCATGATACCTTCATAGATTTCATAGATTTCTAGGTTGGAAAAGACCTTAGAGATCATCCAGTCCAGCCATCCCTAATCTCCCATTAAATCATATCCCTAAGTAGTTCATCCAGCCTTTTCTTAAACACATTCAGGGATGGGGACTCAACCACCTCCCTGGGCAGCCTATTCTTCGTACCACTCTACTCCCCATTTCAAGGATATTGAGGCCTTGTTTGTTCCTGGGAGCAGCAGCTGTGCTTCATCTTAGAGCTGCTCTAATATTAGCTGAATTCTGGGGAACAATATTCTCCCATTCCCCTCCAATTTTAGTCATTTTCCCACAAATTATATAAGATAGTTTTTTTTGGAAAATGTGGCTAAAGGAAAAAACCCATGTCTAATAGTATGTTATTTGTATGAAGTCTCGTCTTGTTCTCATTACACCATTGGCGTTTTTCACTCCTCTTAAATTCCTATAGCTTAACAGGGCATCCAAGTGCACCCAAAATTTTATCTTCACAGTGCACGCAGCAAATTCCCAGCATGATGCAGCAGCAGCAGTGCTATAAAGACAGGTGACCGCGTCAGTAGGAGTCTGTTCTTTTTAGCAAGTTGTGTAACACTTGCTTTGAAAAGATACCACTTCTTGGGCTGAACACAGCGTTGGTGGGATGGGACTTCTAGAGGTCTGTAATTCAGTGTCTTACTCAAACCCTGTTGTCCCCTGCTACATCATATACCATTACCAGGAAGAGCATGGACCTGTCAGTTTTGTACCTGCACTTCAGCAGCTGAAGGTGCTGTCGTATTGCCTTCTCTTTTGCCAGACTAAACAAGTGCAACTTTGGTTACCAGTTTCCCCTCATAGGTTGTGTGCTCTCAAACCCCTGATCATCTTGGTAGCCTGCCATCACACCCACTTCAGTCTCGCTGCTTCTCCCTTGAGCTGAGCATCCCCAAACTGTTCACCATATTACATGTACATCCTCATCACTTCTGATTAAAGGAGGTTACACTCCTGACATAGCCCATTACGCAGTTTGTTTTATTTGCAGTGCTTACTCATACTGACCATGGCATCCACTGTAACTGCCAGATGTCTTCAGCAGAGCTGCTACTCAGGCAGTTGCTGATCAGTCTGTGCTGACAAAGAGGCATATTCTGTACCTGCTGCTGAGTTTTGCACTTTTCTTTGTTCGACTTAATGAGATTTCTGTTTGTCCAATCCTCAAGTTTTTCTGAAGTCCTTCTGGCCATTTGTCACATCAGCCACCCTGATTTTTTAGCATTGTCCTCAAATGTACTGAGGATGTGCTCTATCTCATTGTGCAGCTCACTGATGAAGTCGTAGAACAGTGTTAGTCACAGTATCTAACCCAGCATACTCCATTTATCACCAGCCAATGTCTAGAAGTCAAGCCATTAATTGTTGCCACCGTAGAAGGCAGCTCAGCCAGTTCTTAAGCCATCCAACAGCCTGTTTATCCAGCAAGACCTCCACAATTTCTAAATGAGAATGCTCTTGGAGACAAGGGACAAGCCTTACTAAAGCTGAAGTATATTACACCTACTTTTCTCCAGATGACCACATACTGGGTCATTTCACCATGAAGGGCAATCACATGGTCCAAGCTTGATGTCCCCTTAATAAATCTCTGCTGAATATTCCTGATCGCTACTTTGTCCTTCATGTGCTTGGAAAGAAGTCCAGGAGGGCTTGCTGCGTGATGTCACCAGGGCTGTGGTGAGGCGGATTGGCCTCGTATATAGTTTACCAGATTCTTTCTTGCCTTCACATCACACTGTATCCCATCATGAGAGACTTCCACCAGCCACCATAATGCTTCAAAGGTAGTAGAGCAGCAGTCTCAGAGTCACACAGCCTGCTAGTGCAGCACTTTACTGAACATCTAGCTTCTGTAAGTAGACCCTGGTCTGTTGCTTCCCCAATGTTGGATCTCCCAACTCCTTCCCTACCCATGCTGGTACACACAGAGGCCTGGGACCAGGCTTTACCTGTGAGTAATGAGAAGAAAAAGAAAAAGGAAAAAAAAAAAAGGTAAGGAATATTTCAGCCTTTTCCATATTGTCCATCACTAGGTTTTCTCCTCCATTTGTCTCTCCCTAAAGAGAATTAGAATCAATTAGAATGAAAATATGAAATTGCTGGATTAAGTGGATAGGTATGGTGAACTGAATCTTTTCCTACAGGGCACTAGACAGAACCTCCTTGATGGACTAACGAGCACGCACGTGTACTTGTGTGAGGAGACACTCATGTTCCAAACTCACCATCCCAACACTGATTCCTTTTCAGTGGCTAAGACTGAGGACCAGAGAGTAAAAATGAGGCCCCATGCTTAGTCACTGACCCCCGTTAAAGAACTTAGAGCCTGATAAAATGTTGGAGAAACAAATGAAATAAGAGAAAGTCTTTAAAAAGTTTTCTACTGTAAAATAAGAACATGGCCTGCAGGGATTTTTCTGGATAAAACAGTCTCATTCCTTTCACAACACTTTGTTGTGTTGGAAACTAGATGGCAAGTCCAAAGCGTATACCAAGAGAGGAATGATCATCTAATCACAACAGAAGCAATTTGCAGGAATGGGTTGTCACCATTTTCAGAAATTGAACTGTAACAATCCAGGTGGCCAGAGCTGCAGGCCTGTGAAAGACTTTAAATTGTCTGAGCTTTATATTGACAAATGAGAGGAATTAGATGCTGTCAGGTCTGTACCTCACTCCCAAGGCTCGTCAGTCACGCCAAATTGCGTTACTGTGGTCTTAGATGAGATCAGACTAAGAATAACTGCAACCTGATCCTCAGTCTCCACAGATGAAGGATAATTGCACTTAATGCTTCGTCTCGTCTTATGATGTTTTCATGCTCTATTTTTGCCTTGAGCTGCTGACGTAAAGGACCCATTGAATCAACTGCGCAGTCAGGACAGCTTCAGCCTAACTGATTTTTTTTGTAGTGCTCTGAATGGCACTCTGCAAAGTCACAGCTACTGGACGTAAGCAGTAACCTCACCCTATGTTCCAACAAAAAATCCCTTGGCAGCCACCTGAGCATCACTCCTGGGAAGAAAACAAGACAGCAGTTATTTCCTAATAAAATTATTTTTTCAGGGTTTGCCAGATTCTTACAGGGAAGACATTCAGCCTTTCACAAGTGATTCACACATTAGAAATGCAAAATGCCATGGAATTAAATTAGTGAGTTTAAACTTATCTTACTGCACCTACCAATGTATCAGCAAACTTTATGCTATTCCACTATAAATCATTTTCAACACAAAAAAAAAAAATAATTAAAACAATCATCAGATCTGAGTGGGCTGTAATTTGGTGGTTAGAAAGCATGACTTAGTTACTAAGAAA